ACCTTCCTTCTGAGGAGTGGCTGGTGGGTTTGAACCGCCAGCCTTCTGGTTAGCAGTCAAGTGCCTTAGGCACTATGCTACCAGAGCTCCTTTCTGAGTGATAGGTGGGAGCTAAGGTCTTATTCATGTCTCTTTCAGGGTTTGTTACAGTTTGCATGGATGAGGATGGGAACGAGAAGAGGGTAAGTTCCTTTCTGTTGACCTTGAAAGAAAGATCATAAATGTATGTTAAGTGTCCTTCCCACTGGCTAACTTTTCCTCCTTTGTTCTCAGTCCACTTCTCCCTCTTATCATATATCCTGCTTTTGGAAGCCACCTGTGTATTTGTATTCTGCATCCTATCTCATGTGCAGCCTTCTTGCCATTTAGGCCTATATCCAAATCTTTGTCTGTCTGTCCTCGGAGGTGGTCAATGACCTGGCAGATGGGTTTAGAGTTGAAATTCCTCAACCTATTCCTTGTCTGAATTTGGTTCTTTCTTCTGAGCAGCCTGGGGATGTCTGGACCTTGCCAGATCAGTGCCACACAGTGACCTGCCTGCCAGATGGCCAGACCTTGCTGAAGAGTCACCGGGTCAACTGTGACCGGGGACCAAAGCCTTCATGCCCTAACAGCCAGTCCCCTATTAGGGTGGAAGAGACCTGTGGTTGCCGCTGGACCTGCCCTTGTGAGTCCTTTACTTCATCAGACTGGACAGTGTTAAAGAGGATGTGTATTTAGATTGGCTTTGCAGAAAGGTAGACCAAAATCCTACCAGCCTGAGGTACCTTTTCCCACCTCATCACATACTACCTTCAAAGTACTACCTTCATCCATGTTTCCTCCTTCCCATGCTCCTTGGATGTGTTTTCTTCATCCAATCTCAGGGATCATTGTTCTATTCCTCCATATTTGGAAAGGATCTCCTCAGCTTATGCTTCACCAGAAGGAAGAATTGCTTTTCTGAAGTCAGTGCTTAGGTTGGCTGTTGGCAAGTCAGCTTCAGGGAATCTACAAGCTTGGGATATAGCAGTAGAAATACGTCAATGCTAGAGACACTTCCAAAAAATTCTCCATTCATACCTACAGCCGTATGGGGGCTGCGTGCAGTGGTAGGTTATCCCAGTGGTCTGGTGTAAGAGGAATACATGTTTCAATCTCCCATCTCATATAAGACTGTGGAGAGCATTCATCCATGAGGGTGGGTTAGCCGTCTGTCTCATGGTTGGGAGAAATTGGTTGATTACTATAGTCCCTACACACCATTGACTAGATCATAATCATTATGTTGAATAGGGAGAACTTGTAGGATGTAATCAGAACTGTATTTTTATATCTCTTTCTCCCTTTAGACTATATCTGTTGTTGTTGTTATGTGCCGTCGAGTCAGCCCTGACTCATAGCGACCCCTCCTTGGGTTTCCGAGGCAGTATCACTACGGAAGTAGGATTGCCCAATCTTCCTTCTGAGGAGTGGCTGGTGGGTTTGAACCGCCAGCCTTCTGGTTAGCAGTCAAGTGCTTTAGCCACTATGCTACCAGAGCTCCCAGACTATATCTAGCAGGGCAAATATATTCCCTGGCCAAGGAGAAACTAGGAAATTATAGTAGACCTCAAGACAATTCCATGGTCACTTTAACTCATCAAGTCTCAATTTGGTAATTACAGTGCCTGCTCCAATTTAGTAATCAAAACTTTCAATTTGATTTCGCTTTAAAAATTCTCCCCACTCCCAGCTTGGGATGCCTGCCCTCTGGGAAATGGGTGTGGTCAGCTCCTTTCCCTGCTTGGAGCATAGGGAGGAGTTGGAAGGAAGTTCAGAAGGTGCTTCTGTGACTGGCGCTGCTGTGAGATGGCTCTGCACTCTGGCCTGGCAGGTGTTTAAAGCAGCCTCTTTGTCTTGCTAGCTTGCTTGAGAATTCCTCAGAGGCCTCCCTACTGTGCTTCCTTGCTACCCAGCCTTGGAGTGTCAGAAGTAGTTTATCTCCTCTGGCTAGCTGTTCCTTTTTTTTTTTTTTTTTTTTAATTTTGAATAACTACAGATTTAAAAATATTTGCAAAAGTAATTCAAAGAATCCCTGTGTGTTCTTCATTCAGATTCTCCAAATGTTACATTTTATATAACCACAGCATAAATTAACATTGATAGAACATCCAAATTTTGCCAGTTGTCTCACTAATGTGTCTTTTCCTGTCTAGGATCTAATTCATCACACTTTACATTTAGTTGTCATGTCTCCTTAGGCTTTGTAAATCTGGAACAGTTCTTTAGTCTTTTTTTTTTTCCTTTGTATGAGCTTGACGCTTTTGAAGAAAACTGGCCATTATATTTTAGAATGTTAAATTTGGGTTAAAAAAATTAGTTAAATTTGGGTTAAATTCGTTGCTAGTACATGGTATCAAGAAGTGCATAATATGGATTTGTCCCACTACTGATGATGTTAATTTTGATCACTTCATTAAGATAGTTTCTGCCATGTTTCTATACTATAAAGTTACTGTTTGTCTCCTTGCACATAATAACTATCTTGGAGATATATTGAAACTATGAAAATATTCTGTTTTCATCATACTTTTGCCCATCTATTGATGACTCTTGCCTGAAACAATTTTTACATAGTGTTTGCCAGTTGGTGATTTTTGATTTCCATTATTCCCTCCATATTTATTCATTGGAATTCTACTGAAAGAGATTTCCTTTATCCCTTGTTTATTAATTCAGTTGATTGTTTGTATCAATATGGTTCATGGGTTCTTATTTTATTCTGTGGGATGTAATCAGTTACTAGCATTATTTATTTTGTTGCTCACATTGTCTCATATTTGGCCATTGAGAGTCCTTTCATTTTTCTTTCTTTGTCCTTTGGACTCCCCCCCCCCCATTTTAATCTTTAAAATACTATTCTTCATCCCTTTTTTGAGTTCTTCTTTACTTTCTAGTACCATAAGATGTTCTAGACTCATCTTGTACTTTTCCTTTGTCCTTCTTGGAGTTAACCATTTCTTTAAATAATCTTGGTTCTTTTTAATTGGAGAATGATATTTAGAAACAAAGATCTGAGTGCTAGTTGTGCTCCATGACACTGAGATGTCATTACTTTCTCAGCCCACAGAGCTAGGCAGCATACATATGTATACATATATTATTTTTCTTTCTCTCTTATCTATCTACCTATCATCTAGCATCTTCTATCACTCACCACCTATCTGATCTATTATCTAAACCATGAGTTTATATTGACATCACCAATTCTAATGTAATAACACAGAGTTCATTATAGCCTCCTCCCTTTGCTTTCTCTGACGGCAAGAAACCTGTCTCATTTCCACAATATATTTACATATTTTCTTAATCTTTGAATACACATAAAGTTTCAGAATTACTAATGCATGCTTTTATGGAAAA